ACCAGGGACCTTGGCGACACCTCTCGCTACTGCACTTGGTACGGGGAGATGAAGCCTGATTTCAAAGGCTCTATGGCCAGGTGCAATTCTAAGAATATTTTCAACGATAAAAAGAAGCGGATGCTGCGTGAGGTGATAATCCCCAACGCGGTGCAGATGCACAAGGACCGCCTGCTGGTGCAACCTCTCAGAGATAACATCCGTGTTGAACACTTCACTGGAAAAATCTGCTCTCAGTTTACAATTCCCCACTCCCACCACACCACCGGTGTGCCGGATACCGACTTTGTGCTGTACGTTGCGGCGGGACCAACTGTACCTGGTACTATCGCGTGGGCAGTCACGTGTCAGTTCGACCCCAACGGCCGCCCCTTAGTGGGTGTTGCCAATATTGGGTTTGTAAACACTATGAACATTATCTCTTCCACACGTACATTGTCCCACGAGATACTGCACGCGTTGGGATTTTCAAATCGTATATTTAAAAAGAGAAACATGATTGATACTGTGTCTGTTCGCAATAAGCCACCAAGTATCGTTATGTCTTCGCCCAAAGTGGTGGAAGTTGCGAGGGCTCATTACGGGTGCAGTACCATGCAGTACGTAGAGTTGGAGGACATGGGTGGTGCGGGATCACACTGGAAGATGCGCAACGCAAAGGATGACTTGATGTCTCCTAAGAAAGGTGGATTTTTCTACACTGCCATCACCATTGCAGCGATGGAGGACACGGGCTACTACAAAGGCAACTACCGCAATGCTGAAAGCATGGCATGGGGTAAGAATGCCGGTTGCGTGCTGTTTGATAAGAACTGCGTAATTGACGGTGTGTCGCAGGTGCCGGAGATGTTCTGTGACAGTAAAACTGTTTCAATAAGTGAGCTTAAGTGCACATCAGACCGGATGGGCATTGGAGACTGTGCAATAACGTATTATGATAGCTTGCCAACATATTTCCAGTACTTCCCCGATACGACGATGGGCGGAACTGCTTCCTTGATGGATTACTGTCCGTTCGTAAGACCATCGTTAAGAACCATGTGCCTAAATGGGGATGAAGAAATGCTCCCTGGTTCAGTGTTTTCAGAGTCTGCGCGATGCTTTTCAGCTGTTCCGAACACTCCTCTCCAGATAAGTGATGGCAGAAATATGCTCTCTATTTGTGCGGATGTCTTGTGTGATAAGAACACCTCGAGCTACCGGGTGCGCATGAAGGGTACCAGTGAATTCGTGGACTGCCCACCCGGAAGTACCCTTGTGCTCTCGGAGTACAGTACAGTCTTTGCGTCTGGTGAAATCGAGTGTGCACCATACGAGGAGGTGTGCCTTAAATAGCTCGACCCCGACAATAACAGCGACGAAAACAACAGCGCCACATCTGGTACGAGTAAAGGCGCGTACTAGCTGGCTTACACGCTTGTGGCG